AATAAAAATAAATAACGAGGCAGTTATCAAAAGATGAAGAAATGTAGACCTGGCATACCCCCACAATAACAAGAGTTATTGTTAATGGGCCGGAATAACGGGAATGCAAGTTATTCCCTCTTTTAAGTGGGGTACAGATAATCCTCTACTTACGACCACAATTGAACCCAAAAATTATGTTGCTAAGTGAGAAATTTGTTAAGTGAGTTTTGCCCCACTTTTCTTGCCAGATTTGTTAAGTGAATCGCCGCAGTTATTAAATCAATAACAAGGTTGTGGAGTGAATTTGGCTTCCCCCCCCCCCCCATTGATTTTGCTTGTCAGAAGTTTGCAAAAGGAGATCACGTGATCCCGGGATACTGCAATTGTCATTAACGTGAGTCAGTTTTCAAGCATCTGAATGTAAATCACGTGACCATGGGGAGGCTGCAACGATTGTAACTGTGAAAAAGGGTCATAAGTCACTTTTTTCAGGGCCCTTATAACTGTTGTAAGTCGAGGACTACCTGTATTGTAAAGCAGAGGGCCCCAACCTTTTGGGCACCAGGGACCGTTTCCTTGGAGAGAGGTTTTTCCACAGACCAGAGGGGGCGTGGTTTTGTGTGCTGCCTGCATCCCATGGATGGGGCTTTGCTTGTTTGTGCAGCCCAGTTGCTGGGATGCTGCGGCCTGTTATCGGCCCACAGACTGGGGGTTGGGGACCCCTGTTGTAAAGGGTTACAAACAACCAAGGCTGGCTGGTTGAGGATATGTGTGTAAGAGCCATGATTTTCCTATCTGTGGAGAGTTGTCAGCATTTCCACTGGCTAGGGCAGTGGTTCTCAACCTTTTTAATGCCGCGACCCCCAACCAGTCGTAAGTCGTGGACTACTCAACTGGTGCAGCACCGTTTGCAGAATGGGACTTTTGGCGGGCTCAGCAGGGCAGAGACAGCCTGGACAATTCCTATTGGTTTTTGAAAGCCAATAGAATTAGACTCTATTCAAGAGAGTCTATTCTATTGGCTTTCAAAAGCCAATAGAATAAAAGGGAGTAGCACAGCTAAGGAAAAGGGGGAGAAAAATGGCAGACTGCATTGTCTGGCGACCCCCGTGAAATGGTCGTTCGACCCCAAATGGGGTCCCGACACATAGGTTGAGAACCGCTGGGCTAGGGGTAAATGCACCACGCTGCTAACATCGGGTGTTCTTGCTTTGACAACAGATGGAAATGTAGCCATCTTTTCTCTTTTGCTTTTAGAGTTAAAATCAGTGTTTCTCAACCTTGACAATTTTAAGGCATGTGGACTTCAACTCCCAGAATTCCACAGCCACAATTGCTGGCTGTGGAATTCTGGGAGTTGAAGTCCACATGCCTTAAAATTGTCAAGGTTGAGAAACACTGATAGATGATGCTGGGAGGGGGGATGTGGATGAGGGTCCAGTTAGTCATAACAACAATAACTCAGCCGTGGGAATTAAGGTTATTGAGCCCAGAGCTGATAAAGATTTTGCAGGCTGGAGAACTGGAGAGGAAGCCCTCGCTTCAGGCTAATTGGGGAATGTGATTTATGACTGTTAATTGGAGGAGGGAATTGTGCTTTGCTACTTTGTGTATGGGGGGGGGAGGAATTTAGTTTTTGGCTTCGATTATGTAAGTGCCGATATTATGCTGCTTGAATAAAAGATTCTTTAAGGAAAACAATGCCTCGAAGTTCTTTTGAAGCGTTTCTTCTGTCGGAACCATGACACCAGCAGGGTGACTTTGGAGGTGGATTGGGCCCTCTTAGCCCAACCAACCTCCCAAGTTTATAGCATTTTCTAATTTTTCAGAATTTCCGTATACTTTCTGTATACTTCTTTCAAGGACTTTTGAGGGTTTTTTTGTTTGCACACACGCACCCATCCACCTATTTTATCCATCGCCATCTTGGCTTTCAGAAAAGGACAGGTCTTCTCCACATGTAGATGCCTCCTTCTTGCTCCTATCCCCTTCCATTTTCCTCCTTGCTTTTCTACCGTTCTTCCAAGTCATCCCAGCAGGACTGGAGCCTTTCCAACCCCTTCAGAGATGAAGTCTCTTGATGAAGGTCAGCTAAGATTGACCTCCACCTGACCACAACACACATTGTTTGCAGTTCTTCCTGTTTATGCTCCTCAAAATATTTTTTGTCAAGCCTCTCTCTCTCTCTCTCTCTCTCTCTCTCTCTCTCTCAATGGGTACTTCCGATTTCTTTTTTCGGTCCAGCCTTCTCCTTAATTATGGTTAATGGGTTAACCTCTTGACAATTAAATCTCATCAGGATGTTCCCTCTCTCAGTGCTTCCCTGATGTTCTTTCCATTGTTTGTACGATGCTATTGATTTAAGGTTGACCTAAGTCCAAGGAATGTGTACATCTTTGTATCTGTCTTCTGTCGGACAAAGATACGGCAAGGTAAAAGAGAAAGATCTGTGTTGTCCTTTTCCTGCACATCTTCGAATTGCCAAACTTGGCAGAGCCTGCCATACACAAACCCAAATCTCTAAATTCCTTAGTTACCTTTGATCTTTTCTCAAGTCTAAACACAACCACTGCCACCCTCTAACAATTTTTCTGATCTGCCCCAAACTGTTAGCAAACTTTAAACCTTAAAGGCCTGGTTCCTAAGTTTCTTTAAAATATTCACCTAGTTCTTTGTTCTGAATGTTGACCAGGAAAAATTGCCTGAATGTTTAACAAAATGCATTTCTTGTGCATGGAAAGCGGGGGGGGGGGGGGGAGAGGAAGTAACCACATA